TGAACCAGAGCATCTTTTCTCCATGCTGTTACTGATCAGCCCTGTTTCTTTTGTGAATTTCATCTTGTCCTATCACTTTTTCCTATTAGTGCTAGTTTTTCTCTCAAATTTTCATGTACTCAAATCTATTTTTATGATAATCAGCAGTATACCTGCATAGGAATATCCTTCCTATCCTATTACAAAACACTTTACTCATCTTTTCCTGCTGTACCTTTCTGCTTTCATTGTCTAATAAAGTCCATGAGATATCTGGAATTTATTTTGTTGTGAGTCAAACCATAGCATTACCTGTTTTCAAGTGATTAGCATATTGGTCCAGCATCATGTCAAATAACCTCTCTTCCCCGTGGATCTATGGGTCATCTAAGGCACCATTTTTCTTTTTATAATACATGCACATGGTATGAAAATGAAATAGCATAAAAGAAAACACTGAACTGTATGTAACCTATTGCTGACTTTTAGTTTTCCTTTGGAGGCAACCCCATTAATTGTTGTGTCTCCTTTCAGACATTATGCCTAAGAAACTATAAACCATTTATGTTGCTTTTAGTCTGTTGTTGCTTCAAACAACTGCAACAAATATCTTTGTAACTATTGCTCATAATGCATCAGTTAATCTGTAAAACTCCTAAAAGTAGAACCTGATAGGTCAAAGAATATGGGCATTTGAAAACCTGATGTTGTCAAATTGCTCTCCAGAGATACTGCACCATAAATTTATACTTCCACTAAAATGCGTGAGACAGTTTAATATTTTTCAAATTTGGGATAATTTTATTGGCTCTGGTGCACATTTTTCTTTGAAAACTTAGCACAACACCTAACAAGTCTAATGGGCATTAAACTAACTGAAATTTTCTTTTTTTAAAAATAGAACTATTTTGCCCTGGCTGGTGTAGCTCAATGGACTGAGCGCAGGCCTGCGAACCAGAGTATTGTGGTTCGATTCCCAGTCAGGGCACATGCCTGGGTTGCAGGCCAGTTCCCAGCAGGGGACCCACGAGAGGCAACCATACATTGATATTTTTCTCCTTCTCTTCCTCTCTAAAGATAAATAAATAAAATCTAAAAAAAAAAAAAAATTGAGCTAGTAACTGAAATTTAAAATAAATAAATAAATAAATAAATAAAAATGGAACTACTTTTTAAAGATTTTTATTTATTTACCTTTAGAGGGGAAGGGAAAGACAGAGGGAGAGAAATATCAATGTATGGTTGTCTCTCCTGTTTCCCCTGCTGGGAACTGGCCTGCAACCCAGGCATGTGCTCAATCCACTGAGCTACACCAGCCAGGGCTGAAGTTGTTTTCTAAATTTCAGTGTTCATTTTGTGGGTAGCCAGTACAAAAAAAACCTCAAGAATTTATAATCTAGTGAGTTGACTTGCAAGCATTTATAACCAATATATGGCTAAATGAAATTAGTACTAGATAGAAGTATAGGATTCCAGGCAGCACAGAAAGGTAAACTTGGTTTGAAGGCTTAGGGAGAGTATGATGAAGAATGTTACTGTAGTAGGAAAGCCTGGATGAGAATTACATTATGAGGGCAATGGGCAAGGAGGATACATTATTTTTTAAAGTATTTTTTGATTATGCTATTATAGTTTTTCCATCCTTTCCCTCGTTATCAAACCCCCTCCACCCTGCCCCCAGTCTTCCAGCATCCCCACTTAGTTCATTTCCATGGGTTGTACATATAAGTTGAGTCCTGTTTCCTATACCATTTTCTCTCTCCCCATATATTTTATGCTTCTTCTTCCCTGTACCTTTCCCGTTATTCTTCCCTTCCCCCTTTCCACTGAAATCCCTCCATGTGATGTCCATATTTCTGTTCCTGTTCTGATTTATTGTTTAGTTTTTGTTTTCACTGTTTTTCTTTTTAGGATCATTTGTTGATAGTTGTGAGTTTGTTGTCATTTTACTGTTCATATTTTTTATCTTTTTCTTAGATAAGTCCCTTTAATGTTTCATATAATAATCTCTTGAATCATGATGATGAACTCCTTTAACTTGACCTTATCTGGGAAGCACTTTATCTGCCCATCCATTTTAAATGAAAGCTTTGCTGGATAGAATAATCTTGCATGTAGGTCCTTGCTTTTCATGACTTCAAATACTTCTTTGCAGCCCCTTCTTGCCTGTAAGGTCTCTTTTGAGAAATCAGCTGACAGTCTAATGGGAACTCCTTTGTAGGTGACTGTCCTCTTATCTCTTGCTGCTTTTAAGATTCTCTCCTTATCTTTAATCTTGGGTAACTCAATGATGATGTGTCTTGGTGTGTTCCTCTTTGGGTGCCACTTCTTTGGGACTCTCTGGGCTTCCTGGACTTCCTGGAAGTCTATTTCCTTTGCCAGATTGGGGAAGTTTTCCTTCATTGTTTTCAAATAAGCTTTCGATTTCTTGGTGTTCTTCTCTTTCTGTCACCCCTGTAATTTGGATTTTGGAATATTTCAAATTGTCCCAGAAGTTCCTAAGTTTCACTTCACTTTTTTGAATTCTTGTTTCTTCCTTTTCTTCTGGATGGATGTTTATTTCTTCCTTTTATTCCAAACCATTGCTTTGAGTCCTGGTTTTCTTCATGTCACTGTTAGTTCCATAAATATTTTGCTTTATTTCACTTTGGGTATCCTTCATTTCTCTTTTCATTTTTTGACCAAGCTCAATCAGATCTGTGATCATTTTGATTACCAGGACTTTAAATTCTCCATCAGATAGGTTGGAGATCTCTTTGCTTAATTCTCTTTCTGAAGCTTTGGTCTGTTCTTTCATTTGGACCATATGTCTTTGTTTTGGCACAGCTGATATGTTGTAAGGGGGTGGGGCCTTAGGTGTTCACTTGGGCAGGGCAACCCTCTTTGCTTTGCTTTGCCACTGCCTGTGGGGGGTGGGGCCAGACAGGGAACAGTGCAGCTTGCTTGCCTGTCTGTGGCCCACTTTTCAACAAACTCTCGTGAGAGAATGGGAGTATCTCCCACCATGGCAACCCCATGTGTAGCCCACAGTCAGTTCTGAGTCTCAGTTTCCCCCATAAATCAGCCTATTCTTTTTTTTTTAAATCAGCCTATTCTTCACTGAAAACAGAATGACCTGAATTAAGGAGTAGAAACAGCACTTTAATCCTTCGTGTCAGAAGGAAGGCACTGAAGGGTTGAAGACAATGACAAGGACAGTAACTCCTTTGGTTAGCTTAACCATCCTTTGGTTAACCAAAAAGATGGTTAAGCTCACACATAAAAAACTGTCACACAGAAGAAACTACATGTTAGTTCTCATTCCTCTAGGTACTACAATGAGTAAAACAAGTACGAGGCCAACATCACTCAACTTCCCCAGAGTGGTTCCAGAAAGCTAGCTTTATGAGAAAGGAGAAAAGTAAGGCCAAGATGATGTCATTAGTTCTCTTTAAAAAAAGAGTCAAAACTTGGTTATTTAGTAGTTAATCCTCTGCCCTACCCCAAACAGTGCTGAATTAGCACCTACTATTTCCACACTTCCCCTACCTGCTTTGCAAAGGTTGCTTTGTCTCTACTGCCCTCTGAAGGTTCTTGGGATTCAACTCCATGTCAGATCCTTCTTCTTTCATTCAGTAGCCTGAACTAGTTGTCCTTTTGGAGGGGAATTGTAACACAAATGCCACAAAGGAATTCTACAAATAAAATCTACTATTCAGCATTTTGATAACCGCAATTCAGTGACTTCTAGTGTTTTCAAAGTGTTGGGAACTGCCCTGCCTGGTTTCAGAAGCTGTAACCCCCTTATGCCTAAGGCTGAGTAAAAAGACCTTGGGACCATAAGCCAGTAAGGAGACAAAGCTTATCTCCCTGGCAGAGGTGCAGCCTCTTTCCCCTTTCCTTCACCCTGCTTGGCCCCCAGCAGATGACTAGTTAGCCAATGACGGGCTCACTTCCTCAAGGGAGGGATGACTTAAGACAGGCATGGTAGCAATAGGGCCATCAGAGAAGGACTTGGGGTACTATAGAAAAAGGGGGCAATGGACCCTCAGCCCTGGACTTTGACATAGCCTGAGTCCTCATTCTATCTGTAAAAAGTCTCCTAATCTCTTGGCTGCCCACATCCCCCACCTGACTTAAGCCTAAAACAATGCCCAAGGTGGGTGCAGCCCTGTTGGAAAGGGCAGTTCCCCAGGGCAATCAGGCCTAAGAAAAGAATGCAGAAAATCCTGTGAAACCTGCTTTGCTAAGAGTAATCTCAATTTAAATGATAAGGGTCGAAGCATAAAGTGAGTTTGTTTCCCCAGAGCTTTATGGCCCTTTAACTATCTGACCCTGAATCAGAATTAGCTCTCACAGTTCTCTGAATGTTATCTATTGTTTGATCATTACTGCCTGACTGACTGATGAGCTTTACCTGTATTCCTGTGCAAATTAAACCCAATAAAAGCCCATTCAGGAAAAGGCTCAAGGTCCTTCTCCTTTGACAGATTGGCAACCTTTTCTCTCCAAGCAGATCATGTTTTGGTAGACTTATTCTCATCTGAGGAAGACGGGGAAGCTCTGTGGGCGAAGTACTCTCCACCCCATCAAAGTGCTTATCATCCAAAAATGACTTCTGAATTGAAAATTACATTCAGTAAAAGCTAAGTTAAAACCTTTTTGGGTAAAACAATCTATACCCTTGGCATAAGTAAACTACAATAATGTGGCATTCAAATACCTGTCTTAAATGTGTCACCCCAAATTATTATCCAAATCTCTAACACTATCAGATTTTTTACCAAAATAATTATTATCTCACTTGGTAAATGCTACTTTATAACCATAATAAACTGTTCAAATACAGAAGTTTGTTATTTATTAATAAATTATGGTTTATTTTAAAAAGTTTAAAATGTTCAACGTTTATGTTAATGTAGGTTAGGCTATCCAAAAGGCAAAGCAAAGAATTAACATTAAGTCATGGTTCAGGGTTATATTTATGGGGAACAAATACAAGACTTAATGGGATTTAATAAGTAAAGATAACCAAAGTAAACTTATTTCAAATATTTATATAAAAACATTAAAGTTCACTTTAAAAGTGTCCATCTTTTCTTTTAAATGGGTACAGACTTATCTGCAATCATGTACAAATATAACAAACTTGACTACCTGCTTTCTCAAACTTTTAATAGAAATATTGGGTTGGCCAAAAAGCACCTGTTTTTTTTTTTCCATAAAATAAAAGACACATTTTTCATTTTCACCAGTTAACTTTATTGATTTGGTTATTTTAAGTATGTTGGATATTTCCCATGTGGTATAACATTGCTGCTGTCAATGTCTCGATTTGATCCATGTCAACTTCAACTGGTCTCCCCAACTGTGGAGCATTGTCCAGCAAGAAATACCCAGCAAAAAACTTTGCAAACCGTTTCTGACAGGTTCAATTAGTCACAGCACCTTTTCCATAAACTGCATGTATCTCTTTTGGCATTTCAGTTATGTTTTTACCTTTCTTGAAATAATAAAGCATAATATGCTGAAAATGTTGATATTTTCCTCTATCTTTAATATTAAAATGGCTACACAAAAATTCACCAACTTTTTAAATGCCTGCTGATATTACAGCTTTCTTAATATAATCTAACAAAACTGTTTCAAATGAAGTTAAAGACAACTATGTGCTATTAGAGCCATTTTATGGAAAAAAAACCTTTTTGGCCAACTCAGTACAATTCTTGCTGCTTTATGCAAGCCAACAACATAATACAAAATGAATACTTTAGAAAAATATGGACCTTTCTGGATCTATACTGCATTTTAAATTTAAATTTGAAAATATAGTTCAGATTACATGAAATACGTGGATTTCAGGTTTATATATTACCTATGTCTTACATATTAGATATGGTTTGTTGGCTGAAATGCATAAATGATTGATTTCTTCATAACAGATTAAAAGTACTTTCCATTGATAACAGTGGTAATCCTAGAACAAAATGGAAGCTAAACATATTTTCACTTTCTGTTCAGTGCCCCAGATATGCAGATACTAACACCAACCACTTGACATACATTTGCTTTAGTTTACTGAATGTCTGATAATCTTTAAACATTCCTGTAAACAAAGTCAAACTCTGCTTTCTAATAGAAATAAAATTCAAGTAAACATTGTGTATTTGATTTAAATTAATCTTGTAGTCATATTAATTTATGACACATTGAATCATAACCATTAAATATGTAAAATGATTTTTTAAATCATCCATACGTAAAGACGAAACTAAGCTCTGTAAACATGTTCCTTTTTCATAACTGCTTTACTGCAGCTGCTCTTTGGTTTGGCAAAGTAATACTGGTCAGGTGCCTCAGGGACTGAGTAAGTTTGTACACCCAGGTAAAACCAAGTCTGTCTACATTTTTTTTAATGGCAATGGCAAGATCTGAAATTCAACCTAATTTTCCTTAAATATCATATTTGTTCAAATATTTTGAAGAGCAATAAAGCAATATTAATTAGTTTTCACAGGGCTTCATTTTGACATTTCAACCTAAAGAGTGACAGCACTAATGAATAGCAGATGAAATATCAAAAAGGCAGTCATTCCCTGATACCATATTGTACCTGTACACCCCTACTGAAGGGTCATTAATGTGTATGAATAAACTCAGCCAAATATTATTCAGAATGTGGCAAAATGTTGGCCATGAATTAAACCAAAAATAAAGTAAAAAGTTTTAAATGAAAATGTCTGAAAAGGTGTTTACTATGCTATTAAAGATGTTAAATAACAGAACTGAAAAGAACTGAGAAAAACTACATTACTACAAAAGTACCTGAATATGTAAAAAATGAAAATTGTTTCCTCACTTGTTAATCAAGTACATGCAAATCCTTTGATCTAAATGTAGAAATACTCATAAAAAGTGCCAGGTAATTTCTGAAAGTAGTTTAAAACATTTACTATTTCCTCATAATATGCAAATGTCAAAATGAAGTGATGATTTTGGTTGGTAATTGATATCCCTTAGCTCTCATTATTTAAAAGTTTCCTAGAATCAGTATTATTAAGACTTGAAATAAAGGTGGAAGAATTCATGTTATATTATAGGATCCCAGATTATATTTTTAAAGCTAGCACATTCAAAAGGAAAAAGTTGTATTCTTTTAAAATCTAATGCTAGTATTAGACAGTGGAATTAGACAAATCCTATACATTATAAACGTGGAATAGTTGACTATAAAATTTGTGACATTAGGAAATTATAGAGCTATGCCTAGTATACTGTTTGACATACTGAAAGTATTACCAAAATTATTTGTTGGATAAATAAAAAGTAAGGTTAGTTGTAAAATCAGAAATCTAACAATGTGAGGGGTCACCCAGTCCAACTCATTGGTAACATCCCCTCCCCTAAATCCGATGTTATAGATAAGAAAACAATATCTCTAGATTATCTATATTATAGATGCTGGCTAAGATTTATTTTTAGTGAGATTCAAAATGGCAGAGGAGTAAGTGGAAGATACACTAACCTTCTTCCAGTATCAATCTGGAATTACAACTAAATTGTAGAGAAATCATCCTGAATAACCAACTGAACACTAGCTGAAGAGAAGTCTTATAACCAAGGACACACAGAAGAAACTACTTCACTAACAAAAATGGAACGGGGTATGGAGGAGGCACAAGAAGGCTGGCTAGGCTCCCATAGGTGGTAGCTGAAGTTCTGGAGAAATAGTAAAGGGGTGGGTGTGTTCCCACCGAGAAATGTGGTGTCTAAAACCCAAGCTGGGCTACCCAGCCTTCAGCACCAGAACTGGAAAGGAACCCAGAAAATAAGCATCTGTGAAAAGCAGCAGGGTTTCTGTTTGCCAGGGTGAGATGGCTGGAGATGCAGAGAGCCTATTAAAGGGCCAACACAAAAAGTTTTGTTTGCAGCCATTTACCCTGGGCTCTGGCTGAGGAAAGAGTTGACTAGAGACACTTGAAGAGATTCTGGGGTTCCTGGCTCTGGGGAGAGAAGTGAAGGAAGAGCTGCCAGGATTCCTGTGCTGAGTCATTCCTCATACTGCAGGAGCCATCTTTCTCAGGTAGAGAGTACTCTTCTCCAAATGGCAACAGCATGAGGAGAAGAAATAGCCCCATCCATAAGAATTACTCTGCTTCACCCTGTAGGGCTTAATCCAGGCTGCTGATTACAGCTTGGGGCTATATCACTAATCAGTCTAACAACTAAAACAGAAAATACAAAGAAGCAGCCAAAATGGAAAGAAGCAGACCCCAAATAAAAGAACAAGGGAATTTTCCAGAAGAAAAACTAGATGAGATGGAGGCAAGTAATTTCAGAAAATTTAGAGTAATATTATTAGGATACACAACAGCATAAAAAAAGACATAGAGACCATAAAAAAACACCAGAAATAAAGCAGTATCTGAAATAAATAATAAACTGGAAAGAATAAACAGTAGGTTAGATGAAGCAGAGGATCGAATTAGTGATCTGAAAGACAAGGTAGGAAAAAAAAAACACCCAGGCACAGCAGCAAAATGAAAAAAGAATTTGAAAAAATGAGGAGAGCTTAAGAAACATTTTGGGTAGCATGAAGCATACCAACATCCACATCATGGGAATACTAGAAGGAGAAGAGAGGAAACAAGGGATCAAGAACCTATTTGAAGAAACAACAACAGAAAGTTTCACTAATCTTGTGAAGGAAAAAAAAAAAAAACCTCAAGTCCAAAAAGCTCAGAGATTCCCGTAAAATGCCTACACCAAGAAGATAAAGATATCTTCATTAAAATGATAAGGCTTAAAGACAAGGAGAGAATCCTAAAAACCTCAAAAGAAAAACAGGTAGTTACGTAGTGCAAGAAAGCACTAATTAGAATGTCATCTGATTTCTGAACAGAAACTTGTCAGGTCAGATGGGAGTGCTGTGAAATAGTCAAGGTGATGAAAAGCAAGGACATACAACCAAGGCTACGTTACCCAGCAAGGGTATCATTTAAAATTGAAGGAGAAATAGGAGCTTCCCGGACAAGAAAAAGCTAAAGGAGTTTGTTAACACCAAACCAGTTCTGCAACAAATCTTACAGGACTTGCCAGAAGAAAAGAAAAAGGCATAGGAGCCGCAGGGGAGTAGGTGGGGAGAAGAGGGAGAAGGCAGAGGAGGGCGAGGAGGAGAAGGAAAAAAGAGGAAAAATCTAAAATAAAATGGCACTAAATACGAATCTTTCAACAATCACCTTAAATGTAAATGGCTTAAATGCTCCAACCAAAGACATAGATAGCAGAGCTGAATGGGTAAGAAAAGAAGACTCATATATACAATCAAAGGCATGGAAAAACATACTTTGTGTAAATGGAAAGGAAAAAAAAGCTGGGAGAGTAGTAATTACATCAAAAAAGTCTTTAAAATCAAGGCTATAGTAAGAGACAAAGAAGGATACTACATAATGACAAAGGGAACATCCAACAAAACCCCAGTAAACATTTATGCACCCAATATAGGAGCACCTAAATGTGTGAAGCAAATATTGATGACAGACAGAAATACAGTCAACAGTTGGGGATTTTAACACCACATTGACTTGAGTGGATAGGCATTCCAGACAGAAAATCTGCAGGAGCCATCTTTCTCATGTAGCGTACTCCTCTCCAACAAGGAGGCAGTGGCTTTAAATGACACAGTGGATCAAATGAAGATTACTGATATCCTCAGAAAATTTCATCCCAAAGCAGCAGAATATACATACATTTCAAATGCACATGGAACGTTTTCTAGGATAGACCACATGTTAGGACACAAAACAAGTCTCAATAAATTTAGGAAGACTGAAATCAAATAAATCAAGTATCTTCTCTGACCATAATGCTATGAAACTAGAAATCAATCACAAAAAGAACAATGAAAAACACACAAAGACGTGGAAGCTAAATAATATGTTATTAAACAATAAATGGGTCAACAATGAGATCAAGGAAAAAATCAAAAGATACCTATAAACAAATGAAAATGAGGACCCAACAATCTAAAATCTGTGGAACACTGGGAAAGCAATCCCAATGGAAATTCACAGCATTGCAGGCCTATCTCAAAAAAAATTAAAAAGCTCAAATAAACAATCTAACTTTACACTAAAGGAACTTGAAAAAGAACAGCTAACAAGCCCAATGTGAGTATAAGGAAACAATAGAGATCAGAGAAGAAATAAACAAAATAGTGTCTTAAGAAAAAACATACAAAGATCAATGAAGTCAAGGGCTGATTCTTTGAAAAGATAAACAGGATGGACAAACATTTAACCAGATCATCAGGAAAAAAAGAGAAAGGACCCAAATAAATAAAATTAGAAATGAAAGAGGAGCAATAACAACTGACACCAAAGAAATACAGAGGATAATAAGAAAATATCATGAACAACTATATGCCAAGAAGCTGGACAAACTGAAATGGATTAATTCCTAGAAATATAAAAATCTTCCAAACTTCCAAAACTAAATCAGGAAGAATCAGAGAATCTGAACAGACATTTCACACCTAGTGAAATTGAAGCAGTAATAAAAAAAGCTCTCAACAAACAAAAGCCCTGGACTGGACGGCTTCACAGGAGAATTTTACCAAATATTCCAAGAACTAACTCCTCTCCTCAAACTATTTCATAAAATTCAAGAGGAGTGAGGCTCCCAAACTCATTTTATGAGACCAGCATTATCCTAATTCCAAAACTAGATAAAGACAATACAAAGGAAGAAAATTACACGCCAATATCCCTGAGAACCCAGAGGCTAAAATTCTCAACAAAATAGTGGCAAACCAAATATAGCAATGCGTCAAAAAGATCACACACCATGATCATGTGGGATGTATTCCGGGAATGCAAGGTTGGTAAAATATTTTCAGATTAATAAATGTGATTCACCACATAATAAAATAAAGGATAAAAACCACATGACCATATCAACAGATGCAGAAAAAGCATTTGATAAAATCCAGCACCCATTTACAATAAAAACTCTCAACAAAGTGGGATTACAGGGAACATAACCAAACATAATAAGGCCATATATGATGAACCCACTGCCAGCATTATACTCAATGGGCAAAAACTACAAGTGTTCCCCTTAAGATCAAGATGGGAATGTCTGCTTTCACCACTCTTAATTTAACACAGTACTGGGAGTCCTAGCCATGGCAATCAGACAAGAAGAAATAAAAGACATCCATATTGAAAAGGAAGACGTAAAACTGGCATTATTTGCAGATGACATGATACTGTACATAGAGAACACCAGAGAGTCCAAGAAACTACTAGAAGTGATAAATGAATTCAGCAGGATACAAATTTAACATCTAGAAATCAGCTGCATTTGTATATGCCAATAATGAACTAACAAAGAAACTGAATAAGATACAAATATGTGGAAGCACGTGACATGTTCATGGTTAGGAAGAATTAACATCATTAAAATGTCCATACTATCCAAAGCAGTCTACAGATTCAATGAAATTTCTATCAAGATTCCAATGTTGTATTTCCAATGTTGTATTTAAATTTAAATGGAACAAATGTTTCAAAAATTTATATGGAACCACAAAAGGCCCTGCACAGCAACAATCACCCTGAGAAAGAACAAAGTTGGAGGAATCATGCTACCTAATATCAAACTGTAGTATAAGGCCATAGTAATCAAAACAGCATGGCACTGACATGAAAACAAACACAGAGATCAATATAATAGAATATAGAGCTCAGAAATAAATCTACACCTTTACAATCAATATTTGACAGAGGAAGCAAGTGCATACAATGGGCTAAGAATTTTATTCAATAAATAGTGTTGGGGAAATTGCACAGATACATATAGAAAAATGAATACAGACCACTTTCTTACACTATACACAAAAATAAATTCAAAATGGATCAAAGATTTAAATGTTAGATCCAAAACCATAAAAATCATAGAAGAAAACAGGCAGCAAAAATCTAATATTGCTTGTAGGAATATTTTATCAGATACATCTCCCCAGGCAAGGGAAACAAAAGAAAATAAAAAAACAAATGGGACTACATCAAAGTAGAAAGTTTTTGCACAGCAAAGGAAATCATCAACAAAATTAAAAGACAACCCACAGAATGGGAGAACATATTCCTGATACAGCTGATAAGAGGTTAATATCCAAAATTTAACTTACAAAACACCAAAACAAACAAACAAACAAACAAACAATTTATTTAAAAAATGGCAAAGGACCTGAAGAGACACTTCTCCAAAGAGGACATATAGATGGCCAATAGACATATGAAAAGATGTTTAATGTCACTCATCATCAGAGAAACACAAATTAAAACCACAATGAGATATCATCTCACACCTGTCAGAATGGCTATTATCAATAAATCAACAAGTGCTGGCGAGGATGTGGAGAATGGGGGACCGTTTTGCACTGTTGGAGGGAATGCAGACTGGTGCAACCACTGTGGAAAGCAGTATGGACATACCTCAAAAAGCTAAAAATGGATCTGCCTTTGGACCCAGCAATCCCACTTCTGGAATTACATCCTAAGGAACCTAAAATACTAATTCGAAAGAACATAAGCACCTGTATGTTCATTGCAGAATTCTTTACATTGCCAAGATCTGAAAGCAGCCCAAGTGTCCATCAATAGATGAGTGGATAAAACAACTGTGGGACATTTACACAATGGAATACTACTTGGCTGTAAAGAAGAAAAATTTACCTTTTGCAACAGCATGAATGGACCTGGAGAACATTATGCTAATTGAATAAGCCAGTCAGAGAAAGATACCATTTGATTTCACTCATATGTGCAATCTGATGAACAAACTGAACAAGGAAAATGGGAACAGACTCATAGAGAGCAGGATGACAGCCCACAGTGGTGGGCTAGAGGTGAGGTAGTGGAAGGATTGAGCAAAAAGGAAAAAGAACTCATGGACATGGAAAACAGTGTGGTGACAGCTGTGTGGAGAGAAGTATAAGGGGACTAAATGGTAATGGAAAAAACTACAATAAAGATTAAAAAAAGTTAAAAATAAAGAAAAAGAAAAATGATGGGAAGTTTTGTAGAGGACATGATGTTGTAGCTGAGTCACCAGGTGGATGGGGAAGAGAAATCCAAACAGAAAACCCATTTTGCAAAGACACAGAGGCATGAAAGAGCATGTCAGATTTTTGTGCTCTTTGTATTTTCTTACCCACTTTTCTCCCATCTTTAGGTCAAACCGCCATATCTAGCAAGTCATTTAATTCCTCAGGGTCTATAAAAAGTGATGCAGTTGGATTTTGTAATTGTGAAAAGGTGTCCAAGGCTCTCTCATTCACTCCTCTACCTTCAAAGCGTTAAGTAGACATCAATAGACAGTCTCACATTTCTTACATGGCTAGCAAAGGAGTTCTTTAATCTTACCCACTCTATAAAAATACATTTCAAAACTATCTCAGGGAAGCAATGTGGTATCTCAAACAGAGCATGAAATTAGTGATCACTGATCTGAATTTGAAGCCAAACTTTGTTGTTTACTTGCTGTGTGACTTTGAGAAGACACTTAAAATCTTTTTGCCTTAGCTTTCACTTGTAAAATGGAGATTGTGGTATTTATCTTGCGTGGTTCTTTGAAAGACTTAGTGGTACTTGTTTTTAAACGTGCAGTATAGTGCTGGATACTTAATAGGTTCTCAAATAATTCACAAAATTGCCAACACACACACAAGATTTATTTCTATCCATTCCTGGATGCAATCAATTACTTTGGTTTGTGTGTGTATATTTGACTAAACAGTATAAAGAAGGATTAACATTTATAAGATACTGTATTTTTCTTTATAAGTAATACAATAATTCTTGCCACTTTCACTGGATATCAAAAGGGAAAGAGGGCACATGTCTAGGCAGCAAGAATCCAGGCTTAGTATTTTTGCATTTAAGAGTGGAATCTACTTTTTGGAGACTGGAAATTTCAAATGACTACTCAAGTAAAATTTCTTTCCTGAAAGCAGTCTTATGCTAAAATTTCACTCTAGTTGAAACTGCATTTTAAGTCACTGTTTAAGTTGTTATAGGATTACTGTAAAAAGTTCCAAAGTAATTTTTCATTACCTAAATTGAAATTTGAAAATAAATTTAATAACATGTTGCATTCTACATACCTTAGGACTAAAAATATTTTTAACAGCTTACAACAGCCTGTTTTTTTCTTTACTTTTCTTCTAGCCACTTCTACCTATTCCTCCTTTGTCCAATATTTCTACAACACGTGTATCTTTTTCTTGCATGCATGTATACTAATAGAAATCTAACAAAAAGTAATTTTAAAACAGAAACAAAAATGTTTCTTATACTGCCAAGTTTCCTTTAAGCTTTGAGCACATTATACAACATTGTTATATTAATGCTTAGAACTAAGCCTTCGATGAATTATTCAAATGAGCTCCATGTTTTAAATCATTATATTTAGACATCTTAATCCTTCTTCATGTTATTGTATAGCCAACAATAAAAAACTTTTATTAAAAATGTTGAAAAGTATAAAATAGTAATTATAAATTATCAAACACCCAATTTTTAAAAAGTTCTTTTGTTTTTCTTACATAGTACAAGCAACAGTGATTTGGATATTATTATTCACTTTCAGCCACCATACTGCCCTAGATGCACTTCAGTTAAGATAAGTTTTTAGCTTGTGTTTCTGGAGTGACAATTTACATGGACACTGAGAAATAGCTCTTATAGTGCAACTTAGGTATAAAAAAGTACATACGCCATGTTAACATGTGATCTAATATAACATCTCATAACAGGTGTTATTTGCAAAATAAAATTAAGTCACTTTTGTAGCTGTAAGTCAATATTGAAATTACTTAAGATTAAGGCATCTTCCTACTCTGCCTTAAAGTGGCGCTTCTGTGGATCCAGCGATCTGTACAAACATTTCTTTTGAAAAAATATACCTTCTGCTATACTTCAATTATTTCATCCCATTGATGATTTTCTTGCAAACAATACTGAAAATATCAGTCCGTAATATGTTTTTATAAACCTGTAAAACCAGAAACAAGTGAGTTATTGGTTAAAACTTGATTTTACATTTCTGAATACAAGATTTAGTAAGTGGTTCTGTGGGCTAAGGTATAAACCTACTAACAAAATAGAAAAGAAATGCTTTAATACAGTTATACTATAATAACAGTAAGGGTTTTTATCAGCAGTAAATAGGAATATCACTGACTTTTCCCCCTGGAGCATCAAGAGAGCATTTAATAACACGCAGACTCTCAGGGTTCTCCCTAACTGTTAAGTGGGACATGATGTGAGGAGACATCTTGTCTACCTTCCAAAGATTGCTGTGGGGTTTAGGAAAGACCCTCGGCAACAGTTCTAGGAACTTCAGCTGGGGATTTTCCACTACCACTGGCAGCAGCCACTATCCCTATAGCAAGAAGAAACAAAGCCAGGACTGAAGACCCCCATTTGAGGTCCACATGCTGTACCACAGTCACAGTTGTCAGTGGCACTGACTAGGACTGTGACCACAACAAGCACTCCTGTTGCTTGTCTTGAGAGCCCAAGCCTAAGTGCCTGTGTTCTAATTCTCTCTGGGTCTCTGGCTCTGGCCTAACTCTGGACATGGAGCTAGGTCCTTTGTACAGAATTGAATGCTTGTGACAAATGCCATGCAAGGAGGCAGAGGCTTCCCTGGGACTGCAGATGACAACCCTTTAAAAAAACTCATGACAACAGGAACCACGGTAATGAATGCATGCTGCCTGAAACTGCTAGACTTGTGAGCATTCATTACAGGGCAACGGGTAACTAAAACACTCTAACTAGGTTTATCAAAAATTGAACATCTTCACAGGATGCCACTGAGCTCAGCTCCTGATTAAGTGCAGACAGCTGTTATCCTTGACTTTAGTGTCAGGAGAGACTTCAGTACCTCCCTGCAGTTCAACTTATGGTTAGCCATTACCCTCATTGCTCAGACTGCTGACTCAGACTGATATCCCCTCTACAGCTCCTGACCCTGGATGCACAGTAAAGAATGTCTCATCCATTCACACAAGCATGAATGACTCATACTTGTCTTGTCTACTGTAAACTGCTCTTTTGTTGTCTCTTTTACAAAGTAAATAACATCAATGAACCTCTTAAGTCTTTTTTTTTCAACCTTTAATGTTAGTTACTTCTCTGGGCCAAATTTTTTCAATAGTGGGCAAATGTTACCTTTTTCCTTTAAACTAATTAATAAGGGACTATTTACTAAAAAGGTCAGTTGTCCATATACCAATCCTAGACAATTTTTACTAGTTTTTCCATTAATCTACCAATAAATATTTACTAAAATTGTGCTAGGGTTGGGTATGGAAAATAAGATTTAGTCAGCTTTCTTCTGATTTCTCCTGAACTACATAATTCTGCTGATATAATTGAAAGAGTAAAATTTTGAATTACAAGTTGTTTTAAGATTGTAAAAAATGTAAAAATAAACTGCAACAATTTCCTTTGTTCAAGGAAATTATCATTGTATTGTCTTACCTTATTCAGTTAGTTAGTTATGACCATGTGGTACTCAATTTTCTATTGCCACTGTGACATGGTTCTTTGTCCCTGTAAGTGCAAAATTACATATGACATGACCCAAAAAATGCATTAAGTTTCTGGCTAAATAGAAACATTTATTAAAGTAAAAGCAACTCTTATACACGCACTAAATAGGCATATGGTGCCAACCATGTCATCTTGTGGAACCAGAAGTAAGAAAAGCAGTGCTACGAGATAGAAGTCTCGTTTTATTTTTATTTTTGCAAAAATGTCACTTGGCTTTAAAGACATTCACCAGAGCCCTGGCTGGTATGGCTCAGTTGGTTGGAGCACTGTCCCACAAATCAAAAGGTTGCAGATTTGATACCCTTTCAGGGTACGTGCCTAGGTTGTGAGTTCACTGCCAGTTGGGGTGTGTACAAGAGGCAACCAATCGGTGTTTCTCTCTCACATCAACGGGTGTGTGTGTGTGTGTGTGTGTGTCTCCTTCCCCCTCCTTCCTTCCCTCCCTCCTTTCTTTCTTGCTCTAAAATCAATAAACATATCCTTAGGCGAAGACTTAAACCGAATCCTTTTCTTTATCCTATACAAGAAATCTAATGATTCCAACTACACTAATTTTAGAGAATAATTTAAATGCTGTAAAATTCCAAGAAGACAAAAAACATCAGAAAATGTGACAGCAAGTTTTGAAACTTTAGGTTATTTTCTGTAATACAAATTGACTTGAATGTCCAAATTATTTGTATATAGTTAAAGAAGACAATGAGAATGTTATTACTATTATTTTAAGAACTACCACAGATATATTTTAGGCTGTAACACTAGTAAACAGCCAGATTATATTATAGACCTAGGCCCAATCCAAAAGCCCACTTCTTTTTTAAATATTAATTTGTTGATTGATTTTTAGAGACAGAGAGAGAGAGAGGACAGAGGGAGTGGGGGAGACAAAGAGAGAGAGAGAGAGAGAGAGAGAGAGAGAGAGAGAGAGAGAGAGGCTGATTTGTTGTTCCATTTATTTATGCATTCATTGGTTGCCTCTACTATTGCCCTAACTGGGAATCGAACCCACAGCCATGGCAAAACTAGGATGATGCTCTAACCAACTGAGCTATCCAGCCAGGGGCCAAAAACCTACTTCTATCCTATCAACTATTCTATAATGCATCCATAATTCATGAAATCATTGTGTCATCAAGGAAAGGTTAAAATACCCCTGCCTGATATGGCTCAGTGGCTTGAGCACTGGCCTGCGAACTGAAAAGTCACTGGTTTGATTCCCAGTCAGGGCATATGGACCGGGCTGTGGGCCAGGTCCTTAGTTGGGGGCATGCAAGAGGCAACCAATCAATGTTTCTCTCATTCTCTCTCCCCCTCTCTCTAAAAGTAAATAAAACCTTAAAAGAAAAGATTAAAATACACTGAAGTGCACTCTTTTTATAACAAGACTGTGAGAGTATAATGATTTTTGAAAGCTAGGGCCCTAAAGAATAACCTTGTTTATGTAGTTTCAGGTGTACAACCCTGTGATCAGACATTTATGTAACTTAAAATATGATCATCCTGACCCATCTGACATCATAGTTATTAGATTATTGACTATATTCCCTATACTGTACTTTATATCCCTGTGACTATCCTGTAACTACCACTGTACATTATAATCCCTCCACCTTTTTCACCCACCTCTTTGCTATCTGGAAACCATCAAAATATTCTGTTACCTATGAATCTGTTTCTATTCTGCTTGTTCGTTTGTTTTTTGGATTCCATATATAAGTAAAGTTACATGGCATTGATCTTTCTTTGACTTATTTTACTCAGCAATATTCCATTTAGGTCCATCCATGCTGTTGCAGATGGCAATATTTTGTTATTTTTTATGCCTCAGTCACATTCCATTATGTATATGCACCACTTCTTTATCCACTCATCTATTGATAGACCCTTAGGTACATCCATAGCTCATCTACAGTAAATAATGACACAATGAACATATAGATGTATGTGTCTTTTTGATTTAGTGTTTTGGATTTCTTTGGATAAATACCAGGAAGTAAAGATGCTGGGTCTATCTCTGGTTCTTATTTTAAAGTCTATTTTGTCTGATATTAAGTACTGCTACCCCAATGTTGTTATTCCCACATGTCACGAAATATCTTTCTCCATCCCTTTACTTTCAGTCTCTGTATATCTTTCAATCTGAAGTGAGTCTCTTGTAGATAGCATGTATAAGGGTCTTATTTTGTTATACATTTAGTCATCATGTCTTTTGATTGCAGCATTTCATCCACTTGTACTTATAGTAATTGTTGAAAGCTATGGGTTTATTGCCATTTTATTATTCGTGTTTTTTATCTTTTTTTTTTTCCCTTAAATAAGACCCATTATCATTTCTTCTAATAATGGTTTAGTGGTGGAAGTGGTTCCTTCTTGTCTGGGAAGTTTTTACAAGTCCTTTGATTCTAAATGATAGCTTTGTTGGGTCAAGTAATCTTGGTTGTAGGTCCTTGCATTTCATCACTTTGAATATTTCATGCTAATCACTTCTGGCCTGGAAAGTATCTGTTGAGAAGTCAGTTGACAGTCTTATGGGAGCTCCCTTGTAAGTAACTAACTGCTTTTCTCTTGCTGCTTTTAAGATTCTGTCTTTAACCTTTGGCATTTTAATTATGATGTGTCTTGGTGTGGGCCTCTTTGGGTTCATCTTGTTTGGGACACTCTGCTTCCTGGACTTGTATGCCCTTTTAAAAAAAAATTTATTTATTTTTAGAGAGGAAAAGGGAGAGAGAAAGAGAGGGAGAGACATCAATGTGTGGTTGCCTCTCATGTGCTCCCTACTGGAGACCTGGCCTACAACCTAGATATGTGCCTTGACTGGGAATCAAACCAGTGATCCTTTGGTTCACAGGCCAGTGCTCAATCCATTGAGCCACAGCAGCCAAGGCAAGTATGCCTATTTTCCTTGCCAAGTTAGGGAAGTAGTCCATCATTATTTTTTCACATAGGTTTTCAATTCCTTGCTTTTTCTTCTTGCACCCTTATGATACTAACATTGGTATGTGTGAAGTTGAACCAGAGGCTCCTTAAACTATCCTCATTTTTTGAATTTTCTTTTTGCTGTTCTGATTGCCTCCTGCTTCCTTATCTTCAAAATTGCTGGTTTGATCCTCTGTTTCATCGATTTTACTTTTGATTCCCTGAAACTATTTTTCATTTCGGTTATTGTATTCTTCATTTCTGACCAACTCTTTATGTTTTCTGAATTTTTTTTCTGTTTGTTGAAGTTTTCACTAAGTTCATCTACTCTTTCCCTAAATTCATTGAGCATCTTTATAATCCTTCATTCATGACTGGTTCCAAATCAATAAAGTTACTGGTGGAAATGAAAAATGTGTCCTTTATTTTATGGAAAAAACTAAATGAGCTTTTTGGCCAACCCACTGGTTGACCCTTGACTGCTGTTGGCAAGCCACTGGGACAGACTGACGCCCAGGCTGATCAGCTGTGAGGATTGGCTCTGACTGCATTACAGGAGCTGCTGTGCAGGGGCCAACCCCATGGAGCAAGACTCACTTCAGTGGGGCTTTGTTGCCTGCCAAAGTCTAGCCTTGGAGTGTGTCTCCTATGGAGGATACTGAGTTGTAATGCAGGGTGGTCTGAAGCTGCCTGCTGGGTGTGCTGGCTCTGGGGCCTCCTAAGAGATGCAAGGTCACCCACCACCTGTGCCCCGCGCAGGGCCACCCAGCACGAACTTCAGAGTGATCTGCAGTTTGTTGCTACCTGTGCTTACTTGGAGCTACCTGGGAAAGGCCAAGCTGCAAACCCAGGCTGGCTGCCACTAGTGCCAGGTCTGGAGCCACTTAGCAAGAGGTATGGGGTAAGCAGAGGCTACTTATTTGAGACATTTTCAGAAGTACAAAGCATAATCCAGGATAGGCTATTTGTATGGAAAGGGCTTCGGTGGGCTTGCAAATGGTGGGGGTAATGGAGTATCTCAGAGAATCAGCAGAGTAGGGCTAACAGAATTAGCCAGGTTGTTGGAAACTCAGATATGGTACCTGCCTGGGGCTGTGTGTGTGTATGTGTGTGACTCTGAAAAGGAAAAATGGCCTTTGCTAGCACTTTTGTCTGGTAGAAAGCTGCCTCTCCAGACCTGACCCTAAAGCCAAACAATTCAGTTCTTCCCCATATGTGCCTGGCACCTACTGAGCTGCTGGCCCACTCTTGGAACTCAAAGGGAGTGAGTCCGATTATATAAGTCCATGTGGGCCTTTGAAAGGAATGCCTGGGACTCCATAAACCCTGTTTCATTCACAATCCAGCCAGAACTCATGGGGTCTTCTCTTCCTGGCACTAGAACCCCAGGCTGGGAGTTCTGATGTGGGGCCAATACCTTCACTACTTAGTGGAGACCTCTGTAGCTGAGTTTCCCTCACAATTTTTAACCACCATCCATTGGTGTAGAACTAGCCTGTTCCATGTCTCCATCCCTCCTACCAGTCTTAATGTGGTGGCTTCTTTATATCCTTATTTGCAGGACTTCTGTTCAGCTAGATTTCAGGCATTCTGAATGATGGCTCTTCTGTATTTTAGTTTTAATTCTGATGTGGTTGTGGGAGGTTCTGAGTACCTCATGTTTACCTACACCACCATCCTGACCAGCACTCACCTTGTTTAAGTTTTATTCAGAATATTATGCCAAAAGAACTTTCTGTGTGTGCAGTAAAGAAATATACAGCTGGGTAACAACAACAACAAAAATCCAACAGTGAACCAAACAAGACACAGCAGTAGCCATTATACTTCCTCACTCAACCCCCTTCTCCATAAAAACTACCAATAAACACTAACACCCCATATATATGACATTATTTTAAAGTTTCACATATTTTAGTATTTTAATATTTTTAATCATCATCCGAGGACTTTTATTTTTCCATTGCTTTTTAAAGAGAAAGGAAGGGAGAGAGAGAAACATCAATATAAAAGAGAGGCATTGATTGGTTGCCTTCCATACACACCAGGAATGGGGACTGCATGTGAGTGGACCATAAACTGTACAATCCCACACCTGCACTGGGGCCAGAACTTGCAGCATAGATATGAACCCTGACCGGGAACTGAACTCACACCCTTTGGTTATGGGACAGTGCTCCAACCAACAGAGCCACACCAACCAGAACATACTGTAGTATTTTAAAATATCACATTATTTTGATTTTTATACATTTATTAAATCTGGTGAGTTTCACTTTGAACACATGAAGCAATATTTTCAGATGACAAGTATTACCTGATCTGACAGTGCCTTCTTCAGAGCCATTCTCTGCCCATTGAGATTCACTGTCTAGCAATCGGTTTTTTGATTCACTAAGTGGTTTGATAGGAAAAGGCTGATTTAAGCCAATACTGAAAAGAAGAGCAAATAATTTAGTAAACAGTTTAATGCTCCATTAAGAATATTTAATTAATAAGCTTCAAATTAATACTCCTCCTAAATATGTGAGGGCAACTTAAAATATCTCACCACTCTGAAAAAAACTCTATCTTAAGATAAAACAAAAATATGCCCCAATTCCCCATTAAATAGCTCTCCAGATCCAAGAATATGTACTCCAACACTGCCAATGAAAACAATTAGTCAAAAGAAAAAAGCTTCAGAGGCCAGCCTGAAACATTTTTAACATGTGTTAATCAACAGCCATAAGGTATCACAAGGGCAGGTGAAGATCTATGTCTGGGGCCAGGACAAAAAAATTTACCTGTCATTTCCCAAGTTTTCTGCTTTCTACCTCTGCAGATTAGATCTAAGGGGAAAAAATGATTAAGTGATTTAACATAGACTTATTTTTCTAGTTAAGAGATCCAGGGAGGGAGGGAACGAAGGAATGAAAAAAGGAGGAAAAAGGAACTAATATTTATTGCGTACCTACTTTGGGCCAGACACTGTACAAGGTGCCATATACCCATTATCTCAACCTTTGCAAAAAAAACTTTGCAGGTAGGTATACCTGGAAACTGAGGCTCTGGTAGTTTAAATGACTTGTTTAGACCCACAATAAATGTTGGAGCTCTAAGGTCTTAAAACCTTAGTCTAAGGTCTACATACTCCTGATGTTAATATGTTAGCTTGTACTTAATAATCCCTTTTCCCTCACAATTTCTGTAGTAAGTTCCAACTTTATCACTTTGATAAAAGTATCTCTATCTTCTTTAAAATATCACTTAAAATGAACACTGAATGTGTGAATCAGTTTGCTTGTCATGCAAATATGGAGAAAACATCCTCTAAGATGAATGAAAGTTTTATATTTCTATTTTTGAATCCTTAATACTATTTTCACTCTACCATTAAAATATGTTTATCAAAATACAATGGTGAATAAGACAATCACTAATATCTGTGAAAAAATATAGCATATAAGCAAATTAAATCAAGTCCTGAAGGAAGGAATGTCTTAATTTCTAGGAAGATGCAGTATATTCAGAGTAGTGATGCTTCCTTATTTGCCCACACATTTCCAGTTTTATGTGATTGTTCAGGTTCATCTGGTAAGAGCAAGCATTCTCTTTCTTACTCAGAAAACTGTTATGGTTTGGATGATAAAAAAATATGGTTATCCTACACATGTTAAGTATATATAACCAAGCAATGTATAACAGTATAATTTATAAGTAGACATACATTACACATTAAACCTCAGTTAAAAATTTAAATAGTATTTCTCTTTTGCTAATTACTACTGTATTTATCTATAATATATGTATGAATCACATACATATATAGTTTATTTTATAATGAATACTGAAAAACTTAATGACAAGAAGCACACCTTCTGGCATATTCATTTTGGTTTGTAACAGAAATTTGCTCTGGATCCATTCCCACAAGGCGAGTTGGAAAACTGCAACCATCACCCAAGCTGCATAATAAAAAATATCAGTAATAATTTAAATTATATTAAGTTAGATCAAAGTTATCAAATTTAACTCCCAATTTTCAGAGGCATGGTATAAAGAAATTATCATAACTTGTCATTTCAGAGAAAATTTCCTAAGACTTCTAATCAAATGTGATTATTTTCCATGAGAAAAGAAAACATTTTTCTTTTTCATGGACATTAACTAGATTTATTGTGGTGATCATTTCACAATATATACATATACTGAATTGTTACACTGCATTATACAACTGAAACTAATGTAATATTATACATCAATTATATCACAATAAAAACAAAACAAAATAAACAGATTTCAGGATATTTAAATAACAAAAAAAGCATACTGTCAATCCTGAAAGTATCTTTGGATATATTAAATATATAATGTCCGTGAAGATAGGACTGAACAATTTGAGTTTTTTAAATATAAGTTTGTAAATGCTCTTTGTATATTACAGATATTAATTCTTTATCTGTCATCCATATCACAAATAATTTTCCCCAATCTATTTTGTCTACTTTGTATTGTTTTGGCATCTTTTTCCACATACAAGAAGTAACTTTTTTATATAGTAGGATATGTAGAATTTTATATTTATAGCTTTTTGGTTCTACATTTTTATTAAAATAGTTTCCTCAGTTCCCCAGTTGTACATATACTCATAAAGTTTCCTCTGGAATTTTTAGTTTTTTCTCATGCCTTTGATTTAGTTTGCTTTATATATTAATGTTGTAAGATCTAATTTTATTTTCTTCTATGTGGGTAGTTGGTTGTAGTTTTTAAATTTTTTTATGTGTTAATTTATTAAAAATTTAATCTTTATTGTATTTTTTCCATTACCATTTAGTCCCCTTACACCTGCTCCCCCAGCAATCACCACACAGTGTCTGTGCCCATGAGTCCTTTTTCCTTTTAGCTCAATCCTTCCACCCCTTAATCTTTACCACCCCCACACCCCGCCATCTGGCTATGAGTCTGTTGCCATTTTCCTTGTTAGTTCAGCTTGCTCATTAGATTCCAACATATGAGTGAAATCAAATGGTATTTATCTTTCTCTGACTGGCTTATTTCACTTAGCATAATGTTCTCCAGGTCCATTTATGCTGTTGCAAAGGGTAAAATTTTCCTCTTCTTTGCAGCCAAGTAGTATTCCATTGTGTAAATGTCCCACAGTTGTTTTATCCACTCATCTATTGATAAGACACTTGAGTTGCTTCCATATCTAGGCAATTGTAAATAATGCTGCAATGAACATATAGGTGCTTATGTTCTTTCAAATTAGTGTTTTGCATTCCTTAGTATATGTTTGCAGAAGTGGGATTGCTGGGTCAAAAGGCAGATTTATTTTAAATTTTTTTAGTTATGTCCATACTGCTTTCCACAGTGGCTACACCAGTCTGCATTCCCACCCAACAGTGCAAAAGGGTTCCCCTTTCTTCATATCCTTGCTAGCACTTCGTTGTTTGATGATAGCCATTCTGACAGATGTGAGATGATATCTCATTGCGGTTTTAATTTGCACTTCTCTGATGAGTGACATTGAGCATCTTTTCATGTCTATAGGCCATCTGTACGTCCCCTTTGGAGAAGTGCCTCTTCAGGTCTTTTGCCATTTCTTAATCAGGTTGTTTGTTTTTTTGGTGTTGAGTTTTGTAAGTACATTATAAATTTTGGATATTAACCCCTTATCAGATGTACTGGCCAATTTATTCTCCCATTCTGTGGGTTGTCTTTTAATTTTGTTGATTTCCTTTTCTGTGCAAAAACTTTTTAGTTTGATGTAGCCCCATTAGTTTTATTTTTCCATTTGTTTTCTTTGCCTGGGGAGGTATATCCAATAAAATATTCCTACAAGCAATGTCCAAGATTTTGCTTCCTGTTTACTTCTATGATTTTTATGGTTTGGGTCTAACATTTAAATCTGATCCATTCTGAATTTATTCTTTGTTTTGATTACTGTGGGTTTATAGTTCAGTTTGATACTAGGTAGTATGATTCCTCCAACTTTGTTCTTCTTTCTCAGGATAGCTGTTGCTTTGCAGGGCTTTCTGTGGTCCCATATAAATTTTTAAACTATTTGTTCTAGTTCTATGAAATACATCATTGGGATCTTGATAGGAATTGTGTTGATTTTATAGATTGCTTTCGGTGATATGGATATTTTAATCAGGTTAATTCTTCCTATCAATAAACATTTTATGTGCTTCTATTTATTTTTATCTTACTCAATTTCTTTCTTCAGTGTCATAATTTCCAAGTACAGGTCTTTTACATCCTTGGTTAGATTTAATTCTATGTATTTTATTCTTTTTGTATGAACTGTGAATGGGATTGTTTTCTTAATTTCCCTGTTAGTTTGTTATTGAAAATCTTTTTCTTTTATTGCCCTGGCCAGGTGGCTCAGTTGGTTGGAACATCATCCTGTACACCAAAAGGTTGTGGGTCCAATCATCGGTCAGGGCACACACCTAGGCTGAATGTGCAATCCCAGTTTGGAACACATCCAGGAAGTATCCAATCAATTTTTCCCTCTTACATCAATGTTTCTCTCTGTCTTTCTCACTTTTTTTTTAAGATTTTAAAAATTTAATTTATTTATCTTTAATGGGGAAGGGAAGGAGAGAGGGAGAGAAATATCAATGTATGGTTGCCTCTTATGTGTCCCCTGCTGGAAATTGGCCTGCAACCCAAGCATGTGCCCTGACTGGGAACCGAACCGCATTCCTTTGGTTCACAGGCCTGAGCTCAATCCACTGAGCTACACCAGCCAGGGCTCTCTCTCTCTCTTAAAATCAATAAACATATCCTTCGGTAAAGATTAAAACATTTTTTTCTTTTATACTTTATGTGCATTTAAAACAGTATCTTTTATAATATTATATGCCAACTATTCTTTAATAGAAAAAATATCTTCCATGACTATTAAGATTATGATGCCTGTGAATATTATGATACCTAAAACACAGTATTCAAATATTGTGTAACTGACCTGATCCTCACAATTATTTAAGACATCATAAAAACTCATGGTGGAATTCAAGATAGAAGCTCCACACATATTAACAACATTCATTAAACAAATATTTACTGAATGCCTATGATAGTCCAGGTACTAATTTAAGTCCTAAGGATCTAGCAATTAACAAAAGAGCAGGAAATCTGTGTCTTCAAAACATTCACAATCCAAAAAGTAAAGTTTTTTTTTTTTTCAATTTTAAAAACATCAAAATTGTACTGTATACATCAAGGACTTTCACTTATAAGCAAAGATGAATTAACCAGGAAATCTGACCTCCAGGCTTAAACAACTGGAAAATTGAACAGTATATTCAATACTGTTTTCAAAACAGCACAGAACTGTGGTCTGTGTGTGATAGAAGAGACATGACCAAGTGAGTTCCAGCCTCTGCCAGGCAAAGAAGGGAAACACAGAGCAAGGTGGTCTCACTGAACTGAGGTGACAGAGGAATTTTGGGAAGATTCTGTCTGAATCTATCAGACAGAGCTGGGGGAGAGGGAGATATGCAGAAGCTGAAGCACAAAATTTAACTGTCTGAGTGTCCTTGCTGGTGGTGGCCGCCTTGCTTTCTGGGAGAGGCATGGAGTGGGTTGGTTGCCACGGCTTCTGGAGTGGGATGAACCGTGCCCTTGGCAGAGGCAGAGGAACTGAGCCAGAGCCAATGGCCAGTACTGTGGTAGCAGTTAGACTGACCACTGATGCTGCAGGATTTGCAGGCGGTTATGTTTTGCAAGCCTTGAGGCATATGGAGCCTCAAGTCAAACAAGTTTTTCAAAGTCTACCAAAATCTGCCTTTAGTGGTGGCTATTACAGAGGTGGGTTTGAACCCAAAATGACAAATGGGAAGCAGCATTAATACCAGGTGTAAGCCCTATTGCCAATAAAGGAAAGATAAGAGATGCTCACACTTGAATTATGCTTTTAAATCACCCAGACAAGGGAGGATCTCCTTATATAGCAGCCAAAATCAACGAAGCTAAAGATTTACTAGATAAAAGATTTACTAGTCAAGATAAAAAGTGAAGTAAATCTATGATGATTTTTAAAGTTCTTATCATTTATATGTAAAAGTACCAGCTTTTTATGAAATGTCCCAAAGCCACAAATTTTAGAAATGATTTAGCACAAACTAAGTTAAACCCTTGTATCAGTTTGTTTAAATTTGAGGATTCTGTCAGATTATAGAACAGTTATAGATTATTGCTCAGTAATTATGGACAAATACATACCATTTGAATAGAAATATTTTTCATTACTCATTTAGCAAATAATTTAGTACTTAATCAAGGCAAAGTGAACATAAAGGTCCCTGCTCTCAAGGAACCCCAATCTAATGAGAGAATGATAAACTGGTAATTAAAATACAATGTGATAAATACTATAATGGAATTAGCAGAGGCTTTAGGGGACTCATCTCATTGGGAAGAAAGATTGTCAAGGTACAAACAGCTGGCTCAGTGGCTTGGAGCTGTGAATTTAAAAATTAATTTAGCCACAGTTTGACCAGAAAAAAACCCTCATGTAGGTATGTATATGTCACTGACAGGATTCAGATTTCATACACTAAAAACCTAATTAAAAAAATTTAACTGTCTGCCACAACAAAATTCAATATTCTTTAAAAGGACACAAAATTTAAACACTCGGAATTTGAAATGTCCACCACCCAATACAAAATTACTAGTATGAAAAGTAGCAGGGAAATGTGATACATGATTAAGGGAAAAAAACAGTCAATAGAAAAATTAGATATAAGGACTTTGAAATAGTGACTGCAAATGCCTCTGAGTTAACAGGAAAAAGTAGATATAATGAAAAGAGAAATATAAGAGGAAAAAAGAACCAAACTGAACTTACACAGCTGAAAAATATAATATTTGAAATAAAAAATTAACTGGATTAGCTTAACGGTAGAGCAGACATTATAGAAGAGAGACTAAGAATTTATAAACATACCAGTAAACTATCTAAACTAAAGCAAAGAAAAAAGATGGGGAAGGAAAGAGACGGAAGGTCAGAATAGCAATGGCCTGTGAGTCACAATCAAGCAATTTAACATATGTACAGTTATGAGCATCAGTATCTGAAGAGCTAGTGGGAGAAGGGGATAGGAAGAGTAAAAACTAGCAGCAAAAACAACTGAAGACATATCATGAACATTATTTAAATCTGATGAAATCTATAGTCAGATTTAAGATTCTAGAATAATAAAGAAAACCATACCAAGGAACATTATCACTGCCTAAAACCAGGTAAGAAAGATAAAATCTTCAAAGTAGCCAGAGGGAGATTTACAAACAGTGTAATAAAGATAAGAGTGCCACACATTTCTTATCACAAATGGGAAGATAATGGAACTTCGTCTTTAAAGGAAAGGAAAAAAGAAACCCCATAAATGTTGACATCTTTATGTAGAGAACAAAACCTTCAAAAAGTCTGTATTCCAACCGGAGTCCAGAATGGAAAAACCTTGCAATGCAGAAGACAAGAGATACAGTACACCAGAGATTGGCTTTTGAAGATATAGCAATAGGATCTATCCAACGACACACAGGAAAAGGACGACAAAAAAAATGGACATTGCATCAATGAGCTATAATTAGAACTTCTTTGAGAAGATACATGTTATTTGAGGAGAGGGGCATGAAAGAAGAAACAGTTGAAGAAATACTGGTTGAAATATTTTCCAAATCTTATGAAAGTTGTAAAATCACAGATCCAGAAAGCTCAACCCTTACTGAGCACAAGAACACAAAGAAAATTATAACAAGGCACATCAAAATCAAATTTCATGAATCTACTTACAAACAAAATCTTACAAGCAACCAAAGAAAAAAGACATGTAAAATATACAGTAAAAAAAGATAACAGTTACCTCGAACTTCTCATCAGAAAAACACGTAAGCCATAAAACAGTGACGAAATATGTAGAATTGTACACCAAGGAAAAACATCTTTCAAAAATGAAGGCAAAATAATTCACTTTCACACTAAGGCAAGGCAGTTAATTAAGAAACCCCTAACACTCACAAATACGTCACTTGAATTTCAAATGTTTTTTCCTCTTCTACAATGACTTTTATTAGGTAGCCTAGGATAGCTACAAATTTGGATGGAAAGGAAATTATTTAACACCTTGAGTGTACCATATTTTTCAAACTATAAGATGCACCACCCAAATTTGGTAGGGAAAGGGGTGTGTGTCTTATAGTCCGAATGTAGCTTTACATTTACATTGGTGAGATATTATGTTATTTCTGTTATTAAATATTTTACCACACTTTTTGCTTCAGAATTTTTTTTTCCTGTTTTTCTCCTCTAAAACCTAGGTGCATCTTATGGTTCAAAATATACAGGTATATTCTTTAGATTTGAGTAAAAGTTACATTTTGTGTAGGGCCTTTGATTTAAGACAAAAGAGAATATATAATCTCTGATAGAATTTTGAAGATATGGCTAATTAAGTGATAAATTCTCTTTAAAAATATTTTATTGATTATGCTATTACAGTTGTCCTATTTTTTCCTCCCCTCTATCCCCTCTGCCCTGCACCAGCCCTCTCTCCAGCACTCTATCCCACCCCTTAGTTAATGTTCATGGGTCATATAGATAAATTCTTTGCCTTCTCCATTTCCTATACTATTCTTTACCTCCCCATGTCTATTTTATAACCATCAATTATGTTTATTTCCTGTAACTTTACCCACTTTCTCTCCCCTCTCTCTCCCCATTGATAACCCTCCATGTGATCTCTATTTCTGTGATTCTGTTCCTGTTCTGGTTTGTTTGCTTAGTTTTTTTTTTTTTTATGTTCGGTTGCTCATAGTTGTAAGTTTGCTGTCATTTTACTGCTCATGGTTTTGATCTTTTTCTTTTTCTTAGATAAGTCTCTCTAATATTTCATATAATAAAGGCTTGGTGATGATGAACTCCTTTAACCTGACTTTATTTGGGAAGCACTTTATCTGCCCTTCCATTCTAAATGATAGGTTTGCTGGATAGAGTAATCTTGGATGTAGGTCCTTGCTTTTCATGACTTTGAATAATTATTTCCAGCCCCTTCTTGCCTGCAAGGTTTCTTTTGAGGAATCAGCTGACAGTTTTATGGGCACTTCTTTGTAGCACTGTCTCCTTTTCTCTGGGTGCTTTTAAGATTCTCTCGTCTTTAATCTTAGGTAACTTAATAATGTGCCTTGGTGTGTGCTTCCTTGAGGCCAACTTCTTTGGGATTCTCTGAGCTTCCTGGAAGTCTATTTTCTTTGCCAGATTGGAGAAGTTCTCCTTTATCATTTTTTCAAATAACTTCTCCATTTCTTGCTCTCCCTCTTCTCCTTCTGGCGCCCTTATAATTCAGATGTTGGAATGTTCAAAGTTACCCCAGAGGTCCCTAAGCCTCTCATTTTTCCGAATTTTTGTTTCTTCATTTTATTCCAGTTGAATGTTTATTTCTTCCTTCTGTTTGATATTGTTGAGTCTTGGTTTCCTTCCCTTCACTGTTGGTTCCCTATATATTTTTCTTTATTTCACTTTATATAGCCTTCATTTCTTCCTTTATCTTGTGGCTATACTCAATCATTTTTGAGCATCCTGATTTCCAGTGTTTTGAACTGTGTATCTGATAGATTGGCTATCTCCTTGTTGCTTAATTCCTTTTTTTGGAGTTTTGATTTGTTCTTTCATTTGGGCCATATATTTTTGTCTTGGCACCCTGTTACTTTGCAAGGGGCAGAGCCTTAGGTATTTGCCACGGTGGGGCAACCCACTTCACTTTGTTGTGGTGCTGTATGTGGGGATGGGGTCAGAGAAGGACCAATACCACTTGCTTGGCTCTTGCCCCACTTTCTGTCACTTCCCCTACTACCCCACTACCCACAAGCAAATTGTGCTCTTTCAGGTGTTTCCCTGGCAAACATTGTGCTCTTTCACCTGATTCCCAAGTGGGAGAGCTTGTGTATGTTCTAGGACCCCATGGGCCCCTCCACCGAATTCTCCTCTGAGACTTGTAGTTTCTCCTGCTGCTGCAACCCCCACAGGTTTTTTACAACCAGAGGTTTTGAAGCTTTCTTTCCCAGAGCTAGAACCCTGGGTTCGGCAGACTGTCTTGCTCCCCAGTTGTTCCTCCTGGTTTATTCGCATGTGAATGTTTGCCCCATCAGCCAGATGCCCCTTTGCTGGGTGTTCTCTCCACCCTGGCTGCCCATCTTTGCCCCCTCCTACCAGCCTGGATGAACGTTTCTTCTTTAGCTCCTTGGCTTTCGGACTTCCATACAGTTCAGATTCTGGCACTTCTGGTTGTTTTTTATTTTTAAATTGGTTGTTATCCTTCTTTTGGTTGTGCAAGGGAACAAAGCATAGCTCCCTACACCTCCATCTTGGTCGGAAGCTCACTAAGTATTAAATTCTTGTGATTCTCTACTTCAAACAATTTATTTTCATTTTGAAGGAAAGAGTGATTCTTATTTTTTATGAATCATCTTTTTTCAACTTTCCATTCAAATATATACCCAGACTCTCCTTTACCCTCACCGATAAAAAAAGAAGAAAAAGAAAATATTTAACATAATTAGGTATCCTCTGAGTCTGAAGACATTTAACTATAATATCCATAGTTTCTGACACCTGCAATTTATAAATTACCTTGAAAATACTGGAAGTAGCCAGTATTTCTTTTCATCGCCAAAGACTTGTCTCCAATTTTTACTGTATCCAAGAGAGAAACCATTTCCATCAGGTCCATATGAAAATGTGGGTGCACGAAATGATTCTGTTATGTGTATACATAAAAAAAAAAAAGTTACTCTATTTAAAATTATATGAGGCATGAAAGTACCAACTTTCTTGTTTTATATCTATACCATGAAAAGTTATAAATATAATTTAAAAATAAATAGTATATGTATAACAATGAAAAGATTAACTTCTGAAACTTACTGCAGAAAAAAATCACCTCTAAATATTTCATCACCCTTATAAAATGGAAATGTGAAAATAAGTATCTAATATTACTGAAAGTTTACTCAAGTATATCTAATATCTTATTTTACTTTTATTTCTTAATATTCTTACTCTTCAACTTCACTCATTCATTACTTACGCACTTCCTACTACTATGTGCCTGATGGCCCATTACCAGGTGCTTGAGATCCAAAGATAAATTGGATGAAATTCTTACCAAAGAACCAAAGTCTAACAAAATCACAATGTAATAGAGATACGTGTGTTTTGGGGGTGGTGGTAGGGGTAAGATGAAACATGGAGGGGGTAATACTTGAGAATGATCCTGAACAGATGAGAAAGCAGATGGTAATTAAAGACCATTTTTTTCTTTAAAGATTATATTTATTTACTTTTAGACAGAGGGAAAGGGAGGGAGAAAGGGAGGGAGAGAAACATCAATGTGTGGTTGCCTCTCCTGTGCCCCCTACTGGGGACCTGGCCCAAAACCCAGGCATGTGCCCTGACTGGGAATCAAACCAGCGACCCTTTGGTTTGTAGGCCTGAACTCAATCAACTGAGCCATACCAGCCAGGGCTAAAGACCACTCTTTTAAGTTTGGTTGTAAAATTATGCAGAGTGAGGGTTACAGAAAGAAAAAAAATAGATTTATTTTTGCTCTGTTGTGACTTTAAAAATAGACTTTAAAATTTTCAGCATGTTTTATAAACTAAGGATAAGAAGCCATGGAGAGTCTGATTGGGGAAGGTTGGTAACATAGAAAAGTAATGTAAAAATTGATGGAAGAAAATTCTAGAAGAAAATTCTAAAGATTCTTCCTTAGATTCTAGAAAAGACATCTTCAGAAGTTAGAGGAAGGGTAACGGTGATGAGTTTCAAAGTAGACATGTTTGTGTGAGGTTATAAAGTTAAGATTAGAATTTACTTGTGACAACTTCTAATTCTTCTATGTGGGACTCACAAAATAGGTCAGAAAATTAAAGAGAATAGTGAAAGTCTGGAATAACATAGGTAATGAGTGACCAACCTGATTAGAAACATGACATTACTGCCACATAGAGGTAAGGGCTGATACTTTAAATCTGTAGCTGTAACAATCTCAATGGGAGTGAGATTGTCTTTATCAGCTTTTACAGCTCAGATGCACATGTAGATAAAATGGACAGCTATAGTAACCGAGGTCATGGATTAGCAAATGCATTACAGGAGAAAATTTAGGGGTCAAGTGTAACATGAGGGTATCATTAAGAACTGTTAAAGGCATTTATTCAATACTATTAAGATCTTGACTGGAAAAGGGTGGGAAATGAAACCAGAAGGGAAAGAAAACACTTGGAAGAAAAGTGTTAGAAAACAGAGAACTCAGCAATCTAAGAAAAAGGAATTAGAGTATAGAAAAAAAGCTGAAAGGACAAAGACTATGCTCACAGAATGGAAACTTAAGTTGGAAATTTCAGGGACTCTGCGATTTCAAGCAACGAAAAGGTTCAGTGCTTAGTTATGGAAATGACTGGCCACTAGAATCAAAGTGACTACACTGCCTGTTTTCGATGATAGTTTGACGACAGAAACTCTTAATGTGAGGAAATTATCTCAAGGTATGTAGATGACAGTTATGAAGAAGGGTAGAGGTGATTCCTCAAATGACAGAGTAAGACACCTTCGAAGAATAGAAAGACAACGATTTGGAAGCAGCAGTGGAGAATCAGTCAAAGCCCAGGGGTGTGAAAGGGAAGGCTTTAAGGGCAAGTGCTGTGCTAGGGTAATGCTTTGTCTTTTAAATACTTTTTTTTTAAAAAAGAGAAAGTGGAAGGAAGGGAGAAAGAGAGGGTGAGAAAAATCGATAAGAGAAAGATCGGTTGGCCACCTTCTGTATGTTCCCCAGAGGATCAAACACGCAACATAGGCATGTGCGTCGACCCGGAATCAAACTGGCAACCTTTTGATTTGAGGGATGATGCCCAACCAACTGGCCAGGGCATGTATTTTCAAAGTGTGGGTTAAAATACCTTAATAGGCTGCAAAATTAATTTCAGTGGTTTAATGTACACTGCACATAGGAGAGCTGAATAATATTGCATGAAATTTTTGCTTATTTATATAACTTTACAAATATTTGTGCACACATTAGGTTATAAAAAATGATGCATTTCTTACTGTAGTCATAGGCAAAGAAAGTTTAGAAAACACTGTTTAAAAGGAACAATAACTTTCCCAGGAAGCACTGGTCTCTCAAATACCCACCATGGGTTGGGTGGGAACATGGCAAATTAGTGTTCATGCCCCATTTAAAGGAGTCAGCTGCCACTTAGCTGTAATTGAATGACGCTGTGGAAAAAAGGGCCCACAATACCAGATTCATCAGTTAAGAAGAAATCTACTTGTCTACATAAAATCTCTTAGTTTTTAGCTGTAGTGGAAGATCTTAAGGGCTAGACTATGCATGTAGGCTGTACTTTTTCATCTCTGATTAAAGATAGGAAAGTGGCAGGAGATTCTATGAAGAGGATAACAAATTAATTAATAGATATAACAGAGTTTATTTACAGAGAAAAGGGATGAAGGCATGATGGAACTGGAGAGCTCAACGGTGAAGAATGGGCTAAGGTAGGAATAGCACAGAAATCCTTTGCTCTGGAGACCCATCATCCCTTACGTGCCTCAGATGGACAAGTTTAAAATGATCCAACAATAAAAGTATCTAAAAGCCTCCATAAAATGTCTTCATCTTTCTCTATTAAAATCTGTCCTCTTCTAATTCACCTGGCAGACACATGGCTTTAGATAGCAGGGCAGGCTTTAACTTTCTTATGAAACATGGTATATTAGCTGATACCTAAATATTTGAATGATAGCAGAGTGGTGCTTCTTACTTGACAACAACTCAGTTTAGCAATGCCGTATCACCTTGTTTTTGAAGTGTTTGTCCAATTATTTTAATACTTTATCGAATTCTTCCCCTATATTTCCACTTTTAAAAATGAGGAAAATAAGACAACAAAGTGTGCCATCACTGCCCCTGCCATGAACAGCATAGGGGAGGGATGCGCTGACATGAAGCATGAGTAAGATCAGTGCTTTAATTGCTGATGTGCAGAGCAGTTCTGCAAAGGGGACACATGTCTGGGGACCCATGCACTGACCTCAAGTACTACCAGCAGTGTGTTCAGAAAGCAATAAAGGGGAAGGACATTCCCACTTAAGGACCATGGTAGAGAAAAGCCTGAAAAGTCTTCTTGACCCTGACCTTGACAAGGGACTACTTACATAGGAAATTACTCACTCTAGACTTTGTCAATTAAAGCTGGGAAGATAGCCATCAATTTAATGAGGAGTTCAGGGTGGGGCATTTCCTCCTTCTAGATGTTTTCCTCTCACTTGTAAAAGATGATGAACCATTTTACTCTGGGACAATTTCTTACTTGCTCTGGCATCTTGCAGGAACTCACTGTACTAAAACTGAATTATTTCTTGGAATTATGGTTACCTTCTTTCATCTGGGATCAGCTTTAAATATACCTTGTATGTACAGTAAACAATGATAAACTTGTCAGATGATCATGGTTGCCTGACCTCTTGAGTTATACTTCCAAGGATATTAGGCATACCATGCCAGAGTTATCATTCATGGAAGCAACTGGTTAGAACCTCTTTTCACTCAGAGACCAAATGCTCTGAAAACGGATCCTAGCACAACAGTTTCAATCAATACTTGGGAGCAGTTTTATTTTTATATAGTAACTTAACTCTTAAAGATTTTTGGTGGACTGGGTTAGCCAAGAGGAAGCTTTTAAACAGTTCTTTGCCTTTCAGGTTAAGACATGAAAGCCTCAAGAATGTTAAGAATGAGCACCATTTCAGAACTCATAGTGCAGTTCAATCATTAAGATCCTTGGAGTATGCCATGGATGAAGATCCTAAATTGCAAAAATGCTGTATCTGGTTAAATAGGGGGAGAAAGAAGTTTGCTTTATTTGTCTTGTTTACCCACCCTTCTCTGTAATTATGAAGATGAAATAAATTATAGCATCAGTTCCTTAAAAAAAGCAAAATAAGACATAAATGTTGATATCAGTGATACAATTCATAAGTTTCACTGTTGATTGACACAAAGATGGAAATGATTCACAATGTCAAAACACTATTCCTTAGTCTCAATCATGAAACATTTGGGAAAAAAGTAAAGAACTAAATGATAAGCTGTAATTAAGAATTTTATTTTTTTTAGCAATGTGAGAATTAACCACCTTATTAACATGTAAATCTATTCATCTTTCATAGATTAATTTTTGACAACACTGTATACACACAGGAAACAACTTCTATTAACATTTATAATATGGTTTGTTCTCTATACACAATGCACTACTGAAAAAATATATAAAAGCCAATCTTACTTCCTCAACCTTCTTTAAAATAATGAACCTTTATATTTACATATACTGACTGTTCCTGTCCAGTCAGTGAATTTTCACACACAATTATTTTATACTTCTTTATTATCTACTGTCCTTCTCTAGATTTCATAGTCATGGGTGGTCATTTTAGTAAATAATTATTATTTATTTTGATCTCCTTACCTATTGTTGTTCTGTTTTTCCCAACCAACCAGCAGTGGTAGCTAAAAAGTGACAGGACACTGATGAAGAACATTGCTGACACAAAGAAAAGAAACAGTACATGGAATTTGGCACGTGTATCTGTGAGTTCGTTCTGAGGAAAAAAAAAAGAAGTGTTAATTTTGGAGACAGTCAGTCTCTAAAATGTACTCTTATTATTTGGTTTTCCTAAATATTATTGAATCTACCAAAAACTTGCCAGATGTGAAGAGTAATAAAATAATATATCCAAAAAAACATTTTGTAAGAAGAAAACTGGCATCATCAAAGGAGTTTGCTTACATAAAATCAGAGCCATTTTAAAAAGTTGCTACTAAACTAAAAAATCTAGCAATACTTCCAGCAATAAAATAAAAATATGGACTCTACCCCAAATTTTTCTTTTGTACTTTCTGCATATATGCAAGCTTTCCCCTCAACATCCAGGATATAGGAGGGTTTCCCCATCAATGCTAAAGTATCTAGTTATTTTAATTATATATGCTGCTAATAAGAAATTAATTGTGACAGATCTTTTTTGCTTTTCTAATCTCTTTTCTTGGAACACCATTGCAAATATGCCTATCCTCTGAGCTGCTTCAATTCCTACTTTTTAAACCCTTGCTCCATTCTTACAGAGCCTTTCCTTTTTGGTAATTAGCAATTTTGGTAAATGAATTTAACACAAGGTATGAGTGAATGAAAACAGTTTGTCAGTTACCCATTCTTATGGCTACATTCATTTCAACAGCAGCAAAGTCTTAATTAACCTAGAACACATCAGTATCTATTAATAAGAGAAGGAGGATGGTTTTAAAGTGTTAGCTCTTATAATGAAATCACAGAAGCTGCTAGCGCAGAGTGGTCCTTAGAGATTTAAACATTGTTTACAGGCTAAAAGGAAGGTTTTTAGCATTACATAATTCTGCTGTTCATCTTTTTCTCTTCTCTCCCAGAGTAACCATGGTATCTTTTAAATACACCAAGTGATTCTCCTATCTCTTCATCTGGTGAAGAAAATACTATACACACGCACACACACGCACACACACACACACACACACACACACATTCACTATAAATGTTATAAAAGAGATGACAACAATGTCATGGCAGTAATGTATTTTACCTCTGGACAATTCTCTGTAGATATCCTGCGGCAAAGCTTGTACAAATAGAGATAATGTATTAAGAAACCATGTTTTATATAAAGTTTTCCTGAATACTAGTCTTAGCAAACTTTTGCTTTGAAGGAACACTAAGATGTTGCTCTCTAAAGGTCATCAACATTTTCTCAAAAAACAGAAAATAGACAAGAACATTAGCTCTCCAAGCACATTTCAGGTACACTTTAAATACATATTTTCTACTCAGTTTTTTAAAAATTATTTTATTGTTGTTCAATTACAGTTGTCAGTATTTTCTCCCCACCCTTCCTCCCTCCCCCTCCCTTGCCTCCACCTTCCCCCTTGGTTTTCCCATGTGTCCTTTATAGCAGTTTCTACTGTCCCCTCCCCTCTCCCCTCTGGCTATTGTTAGATTGTTCTTAATTTCAATGACTCTGGTTATATTTTGTTTGCTTTTATCTTTTGTTGATTATGTTCCAGTTAAAGGTGAGATCATATGGTATTTGTCCCTCACTGCCTGGCTTATTTCACTTATGGAATTTTCTCAGAAAACTAAAAATGGAACTGCCTTTTGACCCAGCAATTCCACTGCTGGGATTATATCCTAAGAGCCCTGAAACACCAATCCAAAAGAACCTATGCACCCCAATGTTCATAGCAGCACAATTTACAATAGCCAAGTGCTGGAAGCAACCATCAGCAAATGAGTGGATCAAAAAACTATGGTACATTTATACAATGGAATTCTATGCAGCAGAGAGAAAGGAGTTTATATCCTTTGCGAAAGCATGGATGGAATTGGGCAGCATTATCTACTCAGTTTTTAAAAGAGGTTTATATCTAGCATAGAAAAAATTAATTTTTTTTAGCAAATAGCTTTGAAAAAAGCCTCTGATTAGCTGTTTTTAAGAACCATATGTGACAATTTCTTACTACCTTAATCACTATTGCAATATCCTTCTAAGAGGTTGTCACATGCCCTTCTCTGATATAGTATCAGCACAGTAATCAGTGATCTTTCACAAGTCAGAACATATCACTGCTCTGTTCCCACTTCACTGAGTAGAAACTGTGGTTCTTACAACACTTTCCAAGGTTCTTTACTTTGGGGGCCCATCTCCAGGACTTCTCATTAGTCTCACTCTTGCTCGTCCCCTTCAGCCACACCAGCCTCCCTCCTACTTCTCAAACGTGGCAGGGAAGCTCCTAATTTTGAGTCTTTTCCTCTGTTTCCTCTGTCTGAAAATGTTATTCTCTCAGATACCCTCTAACTTCCAGCAAGTTCTTGATCGAATATTACCTCCTTACTTAGGTCTACCCCGATTACTCTTTTCTTTTCCTTAGTTGAGATATAACTGACATATAACAAAATATTAATGTCAGGTGTACAATATGATTTAATATTTATATGTCAAATGTGAATGATCACCACAGTAAGTTCAGTTAACATCTGTCACACCTCATATAATTACAACTCTGTTATAATGAGAATTTGTTAGATATACTCTTAGCTACTTTCAAATATCCTTATTAACTATAGTTGCCATGGTATACGGTACATCTCCAGGACTTATTTTGTCTGCCTTCACCCACTTCACACACTCCTGACATCCTACTTCTAACCACCAATCTCTATATCTATGAGCTGGGCTTTTAATGGAAAAAGCCCATATATATATATATATGAGATCACACAGTATTTGTTTTTGTCTGAATTATTTCACTTATAAAATTGCCTTCAAGATCCATCTGTGTTGTCTTAAATAGCAGGATTTCTTTTGACTGGATAATATTCCACTGTATGTTGATACATTTTCTTTATCCATTTATCTGCTGATAGACACTTAGGTTGTTTCCATGTCTTGACTATTGTAAATAATGCTGCTGTGAACATGGAGGTACAGATATCTCTGAGGTAATATTTTCATTTCCTTTCACTATATTTCCAGAAGTGGAATTGGGAGGTCATATGGTAGTTGAATTTTAATTTTGGGGAAACTTCATACTTTTCCCATAGTGGATGCCCAGTTCACATTCCCACCAACAGTGCACAAGAATTCCTTTTTTCCACATCCTCACCAATACTCATTGTCTTTTTGATAACAGCCATTCTAACAGGTGTGAGGTAATATCTCATTGTGGTTTTGATTTTCATTTCCCTACTGATTAGTGATGGTGAGCATTTTTTCATATACCTGCTGGCCACCTCCATATCTTGTATTAAAAACTGTCTATTGAGAACTTCTGCCTTCCCTACTGATTAGTGATGGTGAGCATTTTTTCATATACCTGCTGGCCACCTCCATATCTTGTATTAAAAACTGTCTATTGAGAACTTCTGCCTATTTGCAAAAATCTAATTGTTTTGTTTTTTCTTGCCATTGAGTTATATGGGTCCTTTATATATTTTGGATATTAACCTCTTACCAAATATATGGTTTGCAAATACTTTCTCCCATTAAGGTGTCTTTTCTTGTTGTTGATAGTTTCCTTTACTGTATAGAAGTCTCTTATTCTGATGTAGTCAAACTTGCTAATTTTTGCTTTTGCTGTCAAATCCAAACATTCACTACTAAGACATTAGTGCTTGTGTTTTCTTCTGGGACATTTATGGTTTCAAGTTTATGCTGAAGTTTTTAATCCATTTAGAGCTCTGTGTGTGTGTGTGTGTGTGTGTGTGTGTGTAGTATAGGGGTTCAGTTTCATTCTTTTCAATGTGGCTGTCCAGTTTTCCCAGCACTATTTATTGACTATCTTTACCCCATTGTATACTACTGCTTCCTCTGTCAAAGATTAATTGACCATACAGAGAAGAGTTTACTTCTGGGTTCTCTATTCCATTCCATTCATCTATGTGTCTGTTTTTATGCCAGTATCATGCTGTTTTGATTGCTACACCTTTTTTTTTTAAGATACTTATTTATTTTTAGAGAGGGCTAGGGAGGTAGAAAAACATCAGTAGGTTGCCTTTTGCACACCCCCAATCTAGGACTTGACCTGCAACTCAGGCATGTGCCCTAACTGGGAACTGAACCTGAGACCTTTCAGTTTGTGGGACAACATCCAACTCAGTGAGCCACACCAGTCAGGGCAATTGCTACAGCTTTGTAACATAGTCTGATATCAGAAATCATAATGTCTGCAGCTTTCTTCTTTCTTTCCTCAAGATTCCTTTGGCTATTTGGACTCTTTTCTGGTGCCATATAAGTTTTAGGACTGTTTATTTATGTGGAAAATGACATCAGAATTTGGATAGAAATTGAACTCAATCTGCAGACTGCTTTTGGTAGTATGACTAGTTTAACAATATGAATTGTTCCTATCTATAAGCACGAACTATCTTTCCATTTGTGTCCTCTTCAGGTACTGGCATCGATGTCTTATAGGTTTTTAAAAAATATTTGTTTTAAGAGGGGAAGAAAGGGGGAGAAACATTGATTTGTTGCTTGTTGCAGGCACCCCAACTGGAGACTAAGCCACCAACACAAGCATGTACCGCAGCCAGGAATCAAACTGGCAACCTTTCACGTTGTGGGAGATGCCCAACTAATTAAGCCACAATGGTCAGGGCTCAGTGTCTTATAGTTTTCAATGTAACAGGTCTTTCACCTCCTTGGTTAAATTTATTCGTAGGTATTTTATTCTTTGTGATGTAATTGTAAATGGGATTGTCTTCTTAAGCACTCTTTCTGATAATTTATTAGTGCAGAGAATGCTGATTTTTGTATCCTATAGCTTTAATGAATTTGAGTTTCAAAAATTTTTGATAGCCTTTACAGTTTCCCATATATACTATCATGTCATCTACAAAAAGAGAGTTTTACTTTCTTCCCAAATATCATGTCTTTATTTCTTAATCACGCAAAATAGCTCTGGCTATGACTTTCAATATAATGTCGAGTAAAAAAGTATCATCTTTGTCTTGTTTCTAATTTTAGAGGAAAAGCATGGTGTTAGCTGTACATTTGGAATATAAGGCCTTTATTGT